GAAGAGCGGCAGACGAGCAACGGACCCACGGGCGACTGGCGCAGCTGGCTACGACTGGGCTACCGGAACAGCGCCCCGGACTACAGGTGCTGCTGACGACAAGACGGCAGCCTCCGCTCAACCTCCCCCGACCGTCCCACGCCCCTCTCACACACCCCCTGCTGACACCCTAGCTCCACTTCCACGGCACCCCCCTTAAACCCTAAACCTCGGCTCCCACACATCCACCCCCCTCAGCGGCAGCTGCAGCAGTGGGAGACGGAGGAGGAGGAGGAGCAGGGGACGGCGCACACACACGGCACCCCCAGAGCTGCCACCCCCACACTCCGCACCCCAAAACCCTAAAAACGGGCGGAACGGGGGAAGGAGCGCGGGGGACGGCGAGGGGGACGGCGCTCGGCCCCCAGAACGCGACCACGGGGCAGAGAGGGGCCGCGCGCGGCTCCCCAGGGCGGCGCGACGGGAAATCGGGGCCGCGGGGGGGTCGCGCGCGGCTCCCCAGGGCGGCACGACGGGAAATCGGGGCCGCGGGGGGTCGCGCGCGGCTCCCCAGGGCGGCACGACGGGAAATCGGGGCCGCGGGGGGTCGCGCGCGGCTCCCCAGGGCGGCACGACGGGAAATCGGGGCCGCGGGGGGTCGCGCGCGGCTCCCCAGGGCGGCACGACGGGAAAACGGGGCCGCGGGGGGTCGCGTGCGGCTCCCCAGGGCGACGGGATCGCGGGGCCGCGGGCGACGGGACCGGAGGGCCGCGGGCGACGGGATCGGGGGGCCGCGGGCGTCCCCCACGGTAGGAAACCGCCGTGCGCCTCGGTGCGCACGGCGGGGAGAAAACCGCCGCACGCCCCGAGCGCGCGGCGGGATGAAAATGTGAAGGTCGCGCGCCACGGGGCGCGCGACACTGAGTAGGGCAGCGGAAGCAGCAGTGGGGCCCACAGGCCAGGAGCGTGAACGCTCTGTTACCATGTCAAAAGAGTAAGCATAAGCAGGAGCCATAGCTAGGAGAACCCTAGCTAGGCAAGAGAAAGTTTAGGCAAAGAGGAGGTTCACTAGCAGCAATGAGGATACATATAGCAAACCCTAGATGGGTTGTACTCGCTATAGAGCACCCCACTACAGGCTAGAGAATAACATTCTGACATGCTGTCTGCTTCAAGGTAAATGCCTTTCGCCATCAGTTGACTGACGCTGAGTAAGTTGTAGCCGAGGCCTTCTGCAATTAAAACCTTGGACATCTGTAGAATGACGTTCGTTTCTCGTGACTGAAGTTGAACAACTCCTTGTCGTCGTGTGCGCAGGTTCTGATTGTTGGCGACGGTGATGACCACCTCTCGTTGAAGCTGGTATTCTCGTTGTACGAAGCGTCCTGAGGAGCACATGTGTTGTCCGCAGCAACTGTCCAAGAACCACGTGTCCTTCCCGGATGGCTCGTTTTGGGCTATGGCAGCGTATGTCGGGTTCGGCTGAAGTGACTCGCGGCGTGGTGTCGTTTCGTCGAATTGCTCTTCTGGTGAGTAGTACGGTGGCGATTCTGTGATGCAAGAATCGTTCAGTCTTGCCATGCAGCTAACGATGTTTCTTGCTCCTTGCGCAGGTTGTCCCGTTGGAGTTGTTGAAGATTGGAGCTGGGTCGTTGGATTCGCCTGTGTTGATGCGACTTGATTGCTTGAAGGTCGTAGCTGTCGCTGCGGAGTCGTTGACTGTTGTCGATTCGGGCAGTGTGTGCGCGGGTGTCCTGAAGTCTTGCAGATGTGGCAGAAAGGAGGTACTGGCTTCGGTTGTTGCTGTCGATTGTTGTAGTTGTTGTGACGTCGTTGAGTGTGAAACGCGAACTCTGATGTTGTCGTCTTCTTTCTGTGTCGTTCTTCTTGTACGTCCATGTCCTGCTGCTCAGCGTGGATTTCGGCGCAGAGTGCTGCTTCAGAGATTCTGCCGTGGGCTCGGAGGATAGCTTTGGTGGCGCGCCATTGGGGACCGAGACCACCAATGATGACTGTCACGAAGGCGTCTTCAGAGATTGACCCTCCGCATCGAAGAAGCTTGTCGCGCAGTTCGCGACATCGGCTGATATACGCCATCCCCTTTTCTCCCGGTTTCATTTCAACTGTTGTCAACTGCGCCATTAACCTGCTTTGGTTTACGCTGTCTGTTGCTTGATACAGGCTCTTCAGGTGGCTGTACGCGAGCTCAGCGGAGTTGCCGTAACCCCGGTAAGAGCGTATGTTCTGCTGCTGAGTTGGTGTGACGTTCCTCAGCAGAATCGTATACGCCATCATCGATTGATACGTATACTGCTGCTTCTCATACTGTGTGCCGTTTGCTGGATATTGCAGGGACCCGTCGAAGAAGCCGAGTATCTGCGCGCCTTCCATCATTAACTCAAACTCGAATGACCAGGTGAAGAAGTCCTTTCCGTCGAAGGGCCTTGATGTCTGCAGCTTCAGAACGTGCGCGAACTGCGATTGCACTTGTAATGCGTCCAGTGGTTTATCTTGTCCAGGTGAAGGCTGCGGCATGAAGCTGATCGACCCGCGCTCGTACGGGGCGAAGGTAGGTTGCTGCTGTTGGTTTCCGCGCGCATATGACGACCCGTCAAGGCTCATGGGTGTTGCTCCGTTGTTGTTGCTGTTGTGTGATTGTGCAGGTCCCGACTGCTGGTGCTGCTCGTAGAAGGACATGAAGGAGAAGAACTTCTCCATTATACTCGGGTCGAAGTTCGCGGGGTGATTTGCGGGAGTAGATGTTACTCTTGGTCTTGTTGCCGTGCCTTCCTCTGTCTGCAGGCCAGAGGCAGGAGGTGGAGTAGGAGTAGTGCCTGGGGAGCCGTTAGAGGAGCTCCTTTCCTTGCTTGTTGCCATGTCTTGTAATGATTTGAAGGTAGTAGAGTTTCCCCTGTTTGCTCTCATACCATGTTGGGCTGAGATAGCCCCTTAGGATTATTCAAGGGAGAACTCTGGATGAAAGTGTTGTAATAGCGGAAGCGTTTAACAAAAGTTTGTGAACCACCTTGCGCTGGTATGTGAGGGCAAAGTAGATTGATTATAGCAAGGAAGTACAAGATTATATAATAATACAAGGAATATGAAAGGATGCAGTTTGTAACTACTTTACTGTTGCTGTTGCGGTTCGATACAGTACGACTCGGGCAACTGCTCTGTAATGAGTCAGTTGTGTGTCCTTAACTGTCGCGCTGTATTTGTCAGGTCAAAGGTCGCTTGACCTTTGACTTTCGCGTAACCTCCAGCAACCTCTTTTAACCTCCGAGGGTTGACTCGCGGGTGCTTCGACATGGCGTGCTTCGCTTCTGGTGTGGTGTTTCGACACGACAGAGGCGTTTACAATTTATTGTTTCCAACAACAAACACATGCAAGCCCACCCATATTCTATTTAAGGATGGGATGGGAGTGCTAAATACGTTTCTTTTCGACTGCACTCCCACCACAGTAGTTGCAACAATTTGGAAGATATTTCTTACCTTGGGTTGGCTATCTTAAACTTGAACTGTAGTCATTCCAATGTCCCTCTATTGGACCCTAATCTGTTGCCCTAAGCCAGGCACGCCCAACAAAGGGCTCAGATCAAATGCTGCTGTCTTGACAGCAACGTGAGGTTGAGATGGATGTTGGTACGAGAGAGTGAGTGAGGCGCACGGGCAGTAACAGCCGTTGATTTGAACCCTGGGGATCGCATCGCACGGCTGTGATGAAGGGCAACTGTGTCCACTAGAGCAGCACGGAAGATGAAGGGATGGTGCGATGATAACGGAATCTCACTCCACGCAGTTTCGGCCGTTGATGGAGCGTCACATTTGAATTTGTGGTCGACTAGTGTTCAAGGTTTCGGGTTTCAGGTTTAAGGTTTGCTGGGCGAGGTCCAGGAGAGCAGAGCGGAAGGTGAAGGGCTTAGAGGCTGGTGAGGAGAGTGAATGGTGGACAATAGAGAGTCACGCATGAATCCATGCAGTATCAGCCGTTGATCTATCATCACATGGGGATTTGTGGCCGTTGGATGTTGAGGGTTTGGCGGGCGAGGTCAACTAGGGCACGGAAGGTGAAGGGCTCGGAGGCGGCTATCTCTGAGAGCACCTTGCGGTTGAGCTGCACGTTGGCCTGCTGCATGCCGTGCACCATCTCACTGTACCGAACCTGCTTGTATCGAGGATGGATTGGGGGTGGTGGGGGAGGGAGAGGAACAGGGAAGGGGGGGAAGAGTGGGGGCGGGGTGGGGATATGGGAGATGGGGGGTTGGTTGGACAGCAGGAGAGGGAGGGAGAAGTGTAGAAAGTATGGACAGGGGAGGAAGGCGAGGGTGTGGTGAGGGCTGGGGAACTGGGGAGATGAAGGTAGTTGTGGGAAACCAGGTCATGTAAAGGGGGAAGGGAATGTAGTACGATAGGTACGTGTTTGACCCATACGTGAGGTTCTGTGCGGTGCGATGCGGTAAGGTGCGGTGCTGTGCGGTGCTGGATGGAGGAGTGTGTAGGATCACTTGAGGCAACGTTGTGAATACAATGAGGGGTTGGGCTTCGTAGCATGGAAAAAAGCACTTGACCTACCCCGTACCCCGGGTCTATCTGTCGTTCGCGTACCCAGCACTGCCGTACGCGCCTGCGTTAACTCACGACGTGCGCTGCATCTCCCTACCCATCCCCCACTCTCTCACTCATTCTCACCCTGTATCGCTGCCTGACTCAACAGCAGCTCACCCCGTACTGTCACACTCCCCGTACTGTCACGCACCCCGTATTGCCGCGCGCCCGCGTTGACGCGCTCGATGGCCAGCCCGCGCATGTCGCGCTTCTTCGTGCGCCGGTCGCGGTACGCGTACGTCAGCGCCTTCTCCACGCGCGGCTTCGCAGCGCGGATGCAGTTCTTCGCGCGCCCGCGGAACCCCTTCGCTAGCTCCAGGATCGTCGCCTTGTTCATGGTAACGGGTGTGACTGTATCGAGATAGATAATGATGGCGGGGGGGTGAGTGTATCGAGCGAGGCGATGGAAGGAAATGGAGATTGTTATTTTACGGAGCGCGGAGGAGGCAGGTGCTGGGTGGAGCGAGTGAGGGTGGGACGACGGGCGGATGGCGTAGGAATGGGGATCGGAATCTCAGTTGGGGAGGCGCGGAAGGGAATTAGTGCCCAAGAGGCTACGTAGGAACTTACGCGATACGGCTGGAAGGATTAGGTTAGGTTACAGCCAGTAGCTAGCACATTCCGTCCGCCCCAGCGTCACAGGCACACGACAGGATATTGCAAATCGAGCCTATAGACCAGAAGTTCAGTGTATTTGAGCATTGCCTTGTGAGAGGAGTCACCTCAGTCGAGCATCCCTGTATCGAAGATATTGCGACGTGTCGAGTTTTGGCTTGCAGGAGGGTAGGGTTTGTGAATCGAATCTGTGCTGACTCGAATCGGCCATAGGCCAGCACGTGCATTCGCTGCGGCCAGAGTTGGCCTGTTGCTCGCCACACTTCCACGTCGACTCGGCTCGGCTAATGATGTTCGAGCTTTTCCTCAGCCTAGCCGCCTCGGCCAAACCAGTTAGGAAAAACCCAAACCAGATGTTTCACCATTCGTTGCTCCCGAAGCAGCCAGAATGACGGAAGCCAATCGGTACGCGCCACGGTAACCACCCTATTCGCGCCCGAACCGAGCCAAACAAATTCCTCCGAACCAGCCGCGCAGAGCGCTGTTTGCTCGCTCGAATCACACAACAGTTTCATCGCCTCCCCATGTTGCTGGAAAGATGGAGCCCAAATCCCTAGGTCTTCCATCAATCTATCCGTCCATACGTTACACGCCCAAGAAATCAACGTCAGAGATGTTCCCAGAACCCAGCCTTCCCCTGCCGCATTTTCACTCCTCTTCCCACTCGACTATTTCCATCACTGTTTGTTTGCTGGTTCTGTTCCGTCTTCGTCTCCTACGTTTCCGCATCTCCCGCTGATTCGTTCTGCTTAGTAGCCTGCGCCCTTATAGGAATCCCGTCCCTTCATCTGCTAGAGGATGATATTTCGTTCCCGTTTGCAGGCAGTCGCCTCTTAACCCGTACTTCGTGGCAGTATCAGTGCATGGCGAGAAACACCCCCGAGTCATGGCGACCAATCGCAGGTTGGGACATTGCCTAATGCCTGGATGCAGCGCAGCGCGTAGAGCACATAGTGCGCGTAGGACCGTCGGAGCTCGACAATTCGTACGCCGTGAACTTTCCTCACGATAACGTTCCCACAAAGACCAGAACCGTTGCGAACCGCATGAATCGTTCCACGTACGTCCTGCTGTTCCACCGCATCCCCGTTATAAGAACCCCACTCTCGGTACAATCATGGGGCAGGCGAATTCCACATTCGAAAGGCCTAGCTCGCCCCCCACCTCGCCCGTCGGCCGCTACAGCTTCCCTCCGCCGCTCTTTCCGCCCTCCCCTTCCGCCGCGCTCCCCTCCCCGCGCCTGACCACTCCGCGCGCGTGGCATCCGGACGTCGTGCGCGCGGTCTTCTCCGACAGCGACTGCGTGCACGACGCCGTGTCGGGCCTCTTGACTCAGTACGTCGAGAAAATAGTCGGCGCCACGGATGCCAACTACCGCGACCCGGACTCCATAGAAGCCATCTTCCTAGGCGCTCCCGCTACCGGCGGCGGCGGCAGCAGCGAAGGCGGCGGCGATGACGGCGGAGGAGGCGACGGCGGCGCCCGCGCGGCGCATTCCGCAACCGCGGCGGATGCGCCAGAACTCCCGGGACGGCGTTCGTCCCCCTCCTCCCCCACTAATGGGGAACATTCCGCCAACTCCGCAGTAGCTGCAGCTGCGGGCGAAGGGGTTGCTACAGCCGCCACAGCGGCTGCAAATGCGTCACGCGCGGTCCCGAGCGAATCCGTCGCGTCGCAGCAGCAGCAGCCGGCGCTGCATCCGCTGAAGCGGCTGTCCAGCCGGCGGCTCGTGGCGGCGCCCGTGGCGCGCGCGCGGGAGGCGGCGACGCGCGAGGCGCTGGAGCAGCTGGAAGACGCGATGCGACAGCTGGCGCGCGCCGAGTACGACTGGCTGGTGAGCAAGATCGCGGAAGCTTCCGCGATGGCGGCGGGGAATAAGGAGGTGAGCAGCGCAAATAATTCGGGGGTGGGCGGAGGGGGAGCGGGCGGAAGAAGCGGGCGGAGCATTGCGGGGATCGGGAGTATCAGTCAACGGTTTAACCGAAGCACCAGCACTAGGTCCGGGTTTGGCCCGGCGAGCTCCCGAACGGGGAACGTAGGCTCGGTCCTCCCGCCGCACCCGTTCCCTCGAAGCTCGTCGCAGAAAGCAGCGAAAGCGGGGCACAGTCGCTCGCTCTCGCTGGGGCAGGCGCTGTCGCACAGGCACGCGAGCAGCAGCCAATCAGAGGCGCGCGCGAAGCCTGCCGAAAGTCGCACAGCGTCGCAGGGGCATCTTGGGCTGGAGGCTGCGAAAGTGGAAGCGGTGTTCGTGGTGGGGCTGGCGATGTGGGTCGAATTCTGGAAGCAGTGGGCCAAACCTGCCAGCCACGGCGCCGAAGCTGCAGCCTCGGCGCTAGGCTCGGGATTAGGCTCCGCGGCGCAGGGGGGGAAGCTGGGGAGGGGGGCGGGGCAGTGGGGGCGGAAGGGCGCGGAAGGGGGGCTGCGGAGTCTGAAGAAGCGGAGGGAGAGGATGAGGCGGAAAGAAGGGGGGAATGGGGGGAAAGGGGGAGGTGCGGGGAAGGATGGGGGAGTGTTGGGGAAAGAGGGGAAGGAGAGGGTTCTAGGGGGTAATTCCGTGCTGGAAGTGCAATTGGACGGGTTAAGTTGCAAGAAACCCTTGGAAGAAGGGACTTTCTTCTCAGTTGACCTGGGGGATGGGGAGGAGGGAGATAAAGGGGGGAGAGGGGAGGCGGAGGGGGGAATGGAGAGTATCGATTTGTCAGGGGGGCGGGACGAGGGGAGGAAGAGAAGGGGAGGGAGGGGAGGAAGGGCAGGAAGGGGGGAACACGGGCAGGATTCTGGAAACTTCGTGGAAGGATTGGGCACTGATTATTGGGAAGGTGGGGAGCGGAACGGGGAGGTGAGGGAGAGGGATTCGAAGGAGGCACGGCACAAGAGGCTGTGGCAGAAGAAACGACGCCACAAGGCGGGACATGGCGTGGCGGGAAATGGAGTGGCGGGACATGGGGTGGCAGGAGTTGGTTTGGATGCACGGCTGTCTGTTATTGAGTGTTCCCCCCCAGAGCTAGACACTGTAGCTGCTACTGCTGCTGCCAACCACTGTAACGGGTCCTTCTATGACGAGGATTTCTCTAGTGATGCTGTAAGGTTTGATTTTGAAAAGCTTCCTAACGGAGCACTCTGTAACGAGGACAGCTGGAGCTCTGGCAGCAACGGCTCGAGCGACGAAAGCTCCTACTACAATCTCAATGAGTACGGCGCTTATAACGAGTGCAGAGCTTTTAACGTGTTCGGATCTTATAACGAGTACGGCGCCAGCTACAGCGCGAACAGCTACAGTGCGAGCGGCAGCAGTGGCACGCCATTCTCAGGGGCGTGTGCCCCGCACGGGGCGGCGTGTGGTGTGCACGTGGCAGAGGTGGAGGGCGACCTCAGGGCCGAGGCCGGGCGGCAGCTGCAGGAGCAGCTCTTGGCGGATCTGCTGGACGGCTGGCAGGGCGCTCTGGGCGGCAAGCAGGGCGCATGGGGGGAGGTGGGATCTGGGGGCGGTGGGACTGGTAGTGGTGGTGGGAGTGGTGGTGGGGGTGCGTTTGGGTTCCGAAGCAGCAGCGTTGGCAGCAGCATCGGAGGGAGCTTCAGCAGGAGCAGCAGCTTCGGCGGCGGAGCAGGCAGCAGCTTCGGGCCTAGCCTCGGCAGCGGGTTCGGGAACAGCCTCGGTAGTGGGTTCGGAAGCGGGTTCGGCGGCTACAGCAGCATGGGGGAGGTGGGGATAGGCAGTGGGCTGGGCTGTAGCAGCTACAACCCATCAGTTGACATCCTGAAACGCCTCCGAAGCAGCTCCTTCTCCTACTCTCACCCCCTCTCCCACCCTCACTCCTTCCCTCACTCCTCCTCTCACTCCACCCACCATTCTGCTAGCAGCAGTCCTGCAGGTACCCCCACGCCCTCGCCCCCTCCCCCGCCCCCTCCGCTGCAGCACGCTGATGTGGTGCGGGTGCTGGGGTTGGCAGCAGCAGCGTCTAACAGCCTGCCTGTGAGTGCCGCTGTGTGTGTGCTGAGGCTGTTGGATAGGCTTTGCAGGGAGGAGCGCGAGGCGGGGGAGTGGGTGAGGCGAGGGCGGGGGAGGGGGAGACGGAGAGGGGGAGGGGCAGCAGCAGCAGCTGCGGCTGCGAGGGCGGCAGCGGCAGCAGCCGCAGCAGGGGGGAGAGGAGGAGGAGGAGGAGGAGGAGCAGGGGTGGGGTGATGGGGGCGGGGGTGTGGAGGGGAGAGGAGGGTTGTTGGGGGATGAGGAGGAGGATGAGGAAGAGGAGGGGGAGGAAGGGAGAGAGGGAGTGAGAAGCAGCGACAACGGTGCTGAAACTGATGATGCCGAAGCTGATGGTGACGCTGCGGATTCCGAAGCTGCAGCGGAGGCTCGGGAGGCGGTGGAGCGGGAGAAGGAGGCTCGGGAGTGCCGCATATTTGTGATGCAGTGCCTGCTCGACCTAGTAGACGCTCTGGCCCTCAAGTGCCGCTTGAGACTGCAACCCCCCTCTGCCAGCGCGTATCTAGAGGGGCTCGTGGGGGGAGTGGAGGGACTGAGGGGGGTGAACGGGGTGGTTGCAGGGGTGGAAGGGTATGCATTGGAGGGGTATGGGGTGGGGGGGTATGGGGGAGTAGCGACGCCTACAGGGAGTGTGACAGTGATGAAGGGGTTCCGGGACGACGAGGAGAGTGCAGCAGGGGTTGTGTCAGGTGGCAGGGGCACGAGAAGCACTGTAGCAGGTGGCGGCAGCACGTCGCCACTGCTCAACGGGCAAGGCTTCAACCCGGCTCTCTTCCACCGCCAGCCCTCCTGGGCCTCGGGCAGACCTGCTGCCAGCAGTGCCTGGGAGACAGGCAAGCCTCCTCCTGCTGCTGCTGCTGCTGGTGGTGCTGCTGCTGCTGCTGCTGGTGCTGCCGCTGCTGCTGGTGCTGCTGCTGCTGGTGCTGCTCGTTCTTCGCTGTACCGGCAGCCGTCGTGGGGTGGGGGAGACAGTGCGTTGTTCCAGCGCCAACCATCCTGGCAGGGGGGTGCGTCGCCCTTCCAGCGCCAGCCGTCCCTGCAGGGGGGCAGTGCAGCCCTTTTCCAGCGCCAGCCGTCTATCGGCTTCCGCAGCAAGATTGGCTCCTTGTTTCTTGGGGAGGAGCGGGGGGCGGCAGGGGGAGGGGAGGAGGAGGATGGAGGCATGGGGGATCCGTCGAGGCTGTGGAGGAGGCACGGGACGATAGGCTCGGGTGTGGGTCGGGCAGGCAGCATGTCCGTCTCTAATGCCCTTGCTCCCATGCGCCGTGCCACTGCTGGCGCTGCTGGCGAGTTCGCTTCCACTGCATCTGTCTCCTCCTCCTCTGCCTCTGCTGCATCAGCTGTGGGCTTCTTTGGTCCCACACGACTCACAGAGCTGGCAGAGCTGGCACTCGTGCGCTCCATTCTACATGCCCCCACCACTGCTGCCCCCAACACCACTGCAGCTGCCACCGGCTTTGCTCGCACCCCTCCCAACACCTCTCCCCATGGCCTTACCAAAGCCCCTACCAACGTCTCTACCAACGCCCCCACCACGAACCAGTCTACTCCCTACTCGCACCGTCTGCGCCAGCTGGACTCGCTCCTCACCACGCATGCGCTCGGCCCGGGGATTCTCGCCCTCGTGTTGGCCGGGGAAGTTGCGGAACTACCCCATTTGACCCAGGAGGACCTGTGGCTTTTAGCCGATAGGGCGGACGAGATGGGGTGCACGGAGGCGGCTATAAGAATCTCTCTTAGAGCCGCCGCTGTCGCTTATGACGATCTGGATACTGTAGCAGATACGGTCCGGGCAGCGATGGTGCCTAATGGGACGGAGCCGGTGCCGCAGCGCATCCACCGGCTGCTGGGGGCGGCGCATTTTGGACTGACGCACGCGCCATCAGGCGCCGTGCGGTGGCGCTATGCCATGGCGTTCGGGGCCGCGTTCTTGGAGCCGCTGCGGGCCGCTGCTGCTGCCAGCGCTGCTGCTGAGGCAAGGAGTAGGGCGCTGGGGTGGGGTGGCATGGGTGGCATGAGTGGGGGGAGAGGGGGGACAGGAATGGGAGTGGGCGGTGGCTTAGGCGTTGGAGGGGAAGCAGGAGGGGCGCTAAGAGCAGGAGGAGAGGCAGCAGGAGCAGGGGCGGCAGCAACAGCAACAGCAGCAGCAGGAGCAGCAGCAGGGGCAGCAGCAGGGGCAGCAGCAGCAGCAGCAGCAGCAGGAGGGGGGTGAGTTACCCATGGGCGTATGAACTAGCGAACGGGTTCCTGCAGCTGAGCCGCGTGTTTGGTGCCCCGCCCTCCCGCGAGGAGCAGGAGCGCGCGGGCGAGATGAGCGCCCTGTGCGCCCGGTTCGTGCTGAGGCTGGCGATTGAGCCGCTGCTGGTGGTGGACGAAGAGGAGGAGGAGGGGGAGGGGGAGGGGGAGGGGGAGGGGGAGGATGAGTTGAAAGGGGATGAGGATGGGGAGGAGGAAGGGGAGGAGGGGGTGGAGAGGGGAGGGGCCGAGGTGGAAGGGGGAGAAGGGAACGGGGTTGAGGGGGAACGAATGGAGGGGGAAGAGGTGCAGGTGGAAGGGGAGGGGGAGGGGGATGGGGAAGGGGAAGGGGACGGGGATGGGGAGGGGAAAGAGAAAGGGGCGGAGGGGAAAGGTGTGGAAAGGGGAGTGGTGGAGGGGGAAGAGGGGGAATTGAACGGAACAGAAGGGAAGGGCGAGGAAGAGAAAGGGGAGGAGGGGAGGAAGGGGGAGGCTGAGGATGATGGCAAGGGGGTAGCAGGTAGAGAGGAAGAGGGCACGGAAAGCGATGGTGAGGGTGAGAACGTTATCATCTATGCCGGACAGTACTATTGGAGAAGTGCGGTGCAGCGCGGTGGGAAGAGCGTGCGGCCGTTCCGCAGCAAGAGTGTGCGGCAGTGCGAGGGCAGCTCGGCAGCAGGGACGGGAGAGACTTTTGAGTCGGCTTGCGAGTCGTTTCGCAGCGAGAGTGTGCGATCAGGTGATGGGCGCACGGCAGCAGATACGGGAGAGACTTTTGAGTCCGCTCGCGAGTCGTTTCGCAGCGAGAGTGTGCGATCAGGTGATGGGCGCACGGCAGCAGATACGGGAGAGACTTTTGAGTCGGCTCGCGAGTCGTTTCGCAGCGAGAGTGTGCGATCAGGTGATGGGCGCACGGCAGCAGATACGGGAGAGACTTTTGAGTCCGCTCGCGAGTCGTTTCGCAGTGAGAGTGTGCGATCAGGTGATGGGCGCACGGCAGCAGATACGGGAGAGACTTTTGAGTCGGCTCGCGAGTCGTTTCGCAGCGAGAGTGTGCGATCAGGTGATGGGCGCACGGCAGCAGATACGGGAGAGACTTTTGAGTCCGCTCGCAAGTCGTTTCGCAGCGAGAGTGTGCGATCAGGTGATGGGCGCACGGCAGCAGATACGGGAGAGACTTTTGAGTCCGCTCGCAAGTCGTTTCGCAGCGAGAGTGTGCGATCAGGTGATGGGCGCACGGCAGCAGATACGGGAGAGACTTTTGAGTCGGCTCGCGAGTCGTTTCGCAGCGAGAGTGTGCGATCAGGTGATGGGCGCACGGCAGCAGATACGGGAGAGACTTTTGAGTCGGCTCGCGAGTCGTTTCGCAGCGAGAGTGTGCGATCAGGTGATGGGCGCACGGCAGCAGATACGGGAGAGACTTTTGAGTCTGCTCGCAAGTCGTTTCGCAGCGAGAGTGTGCGATCAGGTGATGGGCGCACGGCAGCAGATACGGGAGAGACTTTTGAGTCTGCTCGCAAGTCGTTTCGCAGCGAGAGTGTGCGATCAGGTGATGGGCGCACGGCAGCAGATACGGGAGAGGGGCGGGCAATTGCAAGCTTCTTTACCACCAAGCAGGGCGCTCTCAACGAGGGGCAAGGGGCTCTCAAGGCGGTGCTGGAGCAGGGGGGTGCGAGTGAGGGAGTTGTGAGGGGAGTTGTGAGGGGGTTGAAGGGGGTGGCAAAAGGAGAGGAGACGGGCAGTAGGCGTGACGAGAAAAGCGAGGAGGGGATTGATGGGGAGGTGTGCGAGGAGGGTAGTGAGGAGGAGCGGGAGGAAAAGCAAGATGAGGAGGAGGAAGATGATGGGGAGGAACAAGGCGAGGATAGCTTCTCGTTTGGCAAGGCCTCCACCATTCACTCACGCGAGTCTTCCTCTCCCCAACACCCACCACCATCCCTCCCTCCCTTCACCGTTTTCCCAAAATCCACCTCTTCCTCTCTCGCCTCTTCGACCAAAACTGCCCCCACGTCCCGCCCTCCGCCTTTCTCCCTGCACACCCAAAACGGTCGCATCGCTCCCCGGCCCTCCCCGCTAGGCTCGGCAGTGGCAGAAGGCCCGGACGGCCTGCCGGCCGAGGCTGTGCGGGAGGCTCGGCAGCGGCAGGTTCGGGAGGCGGCGCTGGTTCGGTGGGCGGCGGAAGTGAGTTTCCCGGGCGTGGAGGTGGGGTGGGCGCAGTGGAAGGCGGTGGGTGGGCTGCTGGAGAGGGAAAGCGCGTTGGCCCACAAGGCACTGCCTGTGATGTGGGGAAAGGCAGTCAAAGGGACGTTCAAGGTGAGACTTTCTTTTTGCAAAGGATTGTTCAAACAGGGCGTGGTTGGGTCACATCTCCACTCGGTCATCTCGGCCACCCCCCTCCGCTTCCTCCCTTCTCCCCCCTCTCTCCTCCTCTCAATAGATGCTAGAAGTGCTCTATTGAGGTCTGGAGGCAGCAGACCTTGCAGGCCACATTTGCCACGCTCACCTCTCCTGATCCCCCCCACATTCCTTCTTCTCCCTCTCCCTTCTCTCCATCGCACCCACCCTCCAGGCAGTGACGCCAGACGTTGCGATACCAGAGCAGCAGGTGTTGGAGGTGTTTGACTGGGGGTTGGAAGGGCCACCCACCACCTTTACCACCCTCACCTCGTTCCTTCCTCTCTTCCTCCCACCCCACAGGCAGTGACACCAGACGGGGCCATACCAGAGCAGCAGGTGCTGGAGGTGTTTGACTGGGGGCTGGAAGGGCTGCTCATCACCCTCACCTCGCCCGGCCCCATCTACCTCGACTCCACCCCCTGCGCCGCCTCGCCTTGCTCCCTCTCCTCCTCGCTTCTCCCCACATCTGCTTCCACCTCCTCTTCCTCCACATCCTCAGCATCCTTCTCCCGTTCCTCCTCCAACAAACAACCGCGTGGAGCCCTCTCTGCACCCACCACTACCACCACTACCTCCTCCTCCTCCTCCTCCTCCTCCTCCTCCTCCTCCTCCTCCTCCTCCTCCTCCTCCTCCTCCTCCTCCTCCTCCTCCTCCTCCTCCTCCTCCCCTTCCCCCCTCACCCCCTCCCTCCACCGCTCGCCCTCCTCCCTCGTCTCAGCCTGGGCCTGGATAGAGCGGCTCATCTCCACCGTCGATCCACGAGAGAAGGACATCGGGGATCTAATCCTGGCCGTTGCAGCGCGCATGGCGGCGCACATCTATTGGCGGTGGCCCAAGCGGAGGGACAATGCACGCTACATTGCCCGCTTGCTTCTCTATGCTCACAAGCGCTTTGGCTGGCAGCAGGGCGGGCAGCAGGGGCAGTGGGGCCAGTGGGGGCAGTGGGGGGGGCAGCAGGGGCAGCTGAGGATGCGGGCGGTGAGGGTGAGTGAGCGGCTGTGGGGGTGGAGCCTTCCTGATGCTGCTTCTGTCCGCGAACAGTGCGAGGTGAGGGTGGTGGGATGAGAGGTTTGGGATTAAGGAGAAGCGGTGTGGCAGTTTGCAGTTTTGTCTGCTTTGTTGTGGGTCGGAGTGAGTGCGTATGCGCGTGTGTGTATGCACATGGGTGTGTGCGTATGTGTGGATTTAATTTGTGAGCAAAGATATATGTGCAATCGTGTAAATGAGTAACCATCTCCTCGTTGTGGTGTGTCTTGTGAATCACTTGATTGGCAGACTGACGAAGAGGCTCAGGAGATTATGGACAGTGCAATGATTGCAACATGGACCGGCATTGCGGCATGATGCAGCCAACTGGAGCACAACAATCGTAACCTCATTATTTGATTTATGATACTCTGGTGTCATGATCTATCAAGGTCTTGTCCTGTCATTATTTGGGGAATCTACTTGTTCCCTTTTCTCATACAAGCATTATGTGCGTGCTATGCTTTTCAGTCTAATTTGCATTAGCATTGGGACTGTATGATATGTGTGCTCTTGTGTGGAAGCAACCATGTAATACTTACATTAATGGTTCCCAGAGTAATCAGTTTTGTCTTGTAGCTGTCCTGATTGAGTGTCTTTTATCTGTATGGAGCTTTACAATGTGGCTCCTACTTCTCTGCTAATTGGCTATATCTACAATAACCGATATGCATGTACACGCTTCCTCCTGAGTAATTTGACCGTTTCGACCAATTTCACGGCATGTTCGCCCTCCCCGAGCCGCAACGATCTCACAAATTCCAGCCATCCGAGTCGCACATTTTCCCACAGAAATTGGATGAGGAAGAGCTCTCTCAACCAAAGAGGCGGCAAGAATCAAGACCCAATTCATCTACATATGGTGGTTGGTTCTCACCGTTGTTCCAGCAGCATCTTCAAGGAAATACCGTAAAACGACACGTTTAGTGAGAACCAACTAAACGACACGTTTTAGTTGCCAAGTTTAGCTCGAGGTGGTTTCCAGACATGATGCTTGAGGTTCCTGTCATGGATAATACGGTTGGGAACTGCCTTCAGTCATCGCTGCGCTCAGTGGCTAGTAAACCAACAATCTCCCACTGCAACAGCACTGGTCCTTCGTTGGCGTACTGCAGATGAGATTGTTTATCGTGAGCTTTTTTTCTACGGAATCCGAGAGTCGCTAAATCAAGTGCGTATTTCTTAGGACAGTGCATGCTGTGAACGACGTTACACGCGATACAGACTGCACATCTTCTGCTTTATACTGATACAGCGCCATGACGCCTATTAGCCATTCCAAAATTCCCCGGCCACGAATCTGCAGCACACTCCCTCGCCTTTCCTTTCTCTTCCTCGGAACAGCTCTCTCGCTACTGACGCATCATGTCTCCCTTCTCTCCGCGCAATCGTCCACTGCCACCGCAACAACCCCTCGATACGACAGTAAGCGTTCGAAGCTGATACGAGGAGGCTTTTCCCGAATACCTCTCGTCGAGCCGGACAGCCATATCCACTCGTCCCGCTTCTATCCCCGGCTCCTCAAGTCGTCCTCTCAAGGCGATTCCACATTTTGGCCGGAAAGCAGCAGCGCATCAGCCGCAGACTTCTCCGCCGAAGCTTCCCCCACGCCGTACGTACTGGACACTCCGGACTTGCTCCCCGAAGCGGACCCGAGTTTCGACTCAGGCAATCCGTTCTTCACTCCCAAAAAGCCCGTGATTTTCTCCATGCCGGACCCAGACCCCGCTACCTTCGTCACGAATCCATCCGCGGTAGTGAGTGGCCCGACTGGGGTGAACGTGGATATCACAAGTGGCTCTTCGGGAAATGGCAACGGGATCCAACCTTCTTTCCCGCAGCCGGGTGCTGGTAACCAGGTAACCAGCAGCTTTCCCGCTCCGCGTCCCACTGGCACGATATTCAGCGTGCGGAGTTTTGGAGCCAAGGGAAACGGAGAGTCGGACGATTCCGATAGCTTTTTGGCCGCATTCGCAGCAGCGTGTAACGCGTCTCTTTCTGCAGATGACGGCACCGCCCCTCCAACGATGCTCGTTCCAAGTGGATACACCTTCTACCTCACGCCTATTCAGCTGGTCGGACCGTGCGGACCAGGAGGAGTGAACGTCCAGATCGACGGGAACATTACGGCGCCTGAGAAGCTCTCAAGATATCCGTCGGCATCCAGAAAGGGTATTTTCGCGTTTCTTCAGTTTGGGATGATCATGAACCTGACGGTGTTCGGCTCGGGGTTCATTGACGGGCAAGGAGAGTCGTTCTGGGATAAAGGGGGCGACCGACCGGTGCTGGTGTACGTTTACATGTGCAACGACACGAGCATTAGCGGCATCACCCTTCAGTAAGTCCCGCTGGTTCCCTGTCCTTCGCACAATTTACTTCCTCGTCTATTACACGCTCACGCTCAGCAGTACTATGCAATCTGACTCATGTCAATGGCTTGCCGTTTCACAGGAATGCACCATTTTTCCACCTGCAAGTTACTCGCTGCGTGGGAGTGAGGATATTTGACTTCAAGACAAATACCCCTGCAGAGAGCAGAAACACGGACGGGATTCATGTATCCGTGTCAACAAATGTTGATATACGTGACTGCATCCTGGCGGGTGGTAAGTGAATAAATCAATTCTGATCAATTAATGTCTTGTCAGTACATGTTGAATAAACCACACTATCATGAATATCATAACTTTATGTTCCAATGCAGGTGATGACAACATTGTTCTATGGGACGGCACGAGAGGAGTCAGCATCTCAAACATTACCGCCTTCAGCGGACATGGAATATCGTATGTCACTCGTACCCCAATGCTTACAGCCGTGTGTGGTCATGCAATTGTTGTATTTCAGTATCTTGGTGTTCCTCACTCTTCTCTAATTGCAATATGAGCAGAATTGGAGCACTTGGCAGTGGCAAGATATCGCCACTCTCCTGCGTTTCAGACGTGACAGTGAAGTCCGTCCGTTTTTTCAACACGAAGATAGGCCTACGCATCAAGACTTTCCAAGGCGGAACTGGTGCAGCGACTAACATTGCGTACGAGGACATCACAATGGAGGGCGTTCGGTACCCACTGGTTCTGGATCAGGTGAGTGAACGCCATGTTTGATCTGCCAATTCCAACTTTGCCTCTCTGTATTGAAACTGATTTCTGTGGCTGCTTCAACCTGCAGTTCTATAATGGAGGGAGCTTGCTTTCGCGAAGCTCAGCAAAGTCCAAGAACGTCGCTATCTCGGATGTTTCATTCTCGAACATCCAAGGCACAACCATTGGAGACGAAGGTGCTGTATTTCGTTGCAGCAAAACAGTGCCATGTACTAACGTGAGACTCAGCAACGTTGACATAACCGCACAAGGACCGCCGAGGCAACTGATTCCGATTTCAGATGACGTATATGGTAAGATAGGAGGGGATTCCTCCTTGGCAATGGAGATTGAAGGTAAAGCTGACTCCGACGAGCTCGAGAGGATACAGAAATTAGTGTCCGCTTGTGCCTCGCAGCCCCTCGTTTACTAACTGAGAAGGCGTTGTGGAATAGCTGCTGACAGCCGATAACATTTAGATTCCATAACCATAGCCAACAGCCGTAGTTTAATTCCTCTGATGCTTTTTCACTGACATGACAGGCGTGGTAAATAGTCCTCCGAAGCCTTAGATTTGTGCATAATGTACTTCCAGCAATCGCCCCGTCCAGTGTCGAGGCATAATAGGTCGAAACATATGGGACGCTTCATTTGAAGATATATTGTACAGCGTTAATCTTCCAAGTTATTCGACTACCAGTGCAGCAGATCCAAAACTCGCTGGACGGCGTCCTGGACATTTTTGCGATCTTCCTGCAGCTTGCTTTGAGTGGCAAGAGTATCAAGCTTAATTCGTTCGAGCTCTCTTCCGATGTCAATTCCTTCGTCATTGAGAGAGCTGAAAGAGTTCACGCACATGTTAATCGTCGACTTGGCACTGAGAATTTCGGGCGTTTGACATGACGCCAGATGGCACCTACTCTATGTCAGGCAGCAGACCTTCCATAGCGCTTTGCGTCTGATTCAGCAATTGCGAGATTAGATCCCGCGTGCTGTTGCCTATGCCGGTTTCTTGTGGAAGTTCTTCAGAGCTCTGGTCAACCATACCTTCCTCAGGACACTCAATGACAGTTTCCAAGACCATAGTGAATATCAAACCGATCAGAAGAGAATCGGGACGAAGGCAAATGTTGTTCAGAGTTTGCAGATGATGGAAATTTGTAGTCTCGGAAGTGCCACAAATGTCAATCTCGAGAGTGGTTGAGAGCTTCGTTATGGAACGCCTCTTTAAGTGTTTATCTTATTTTGACCTGAGGGTGGTGTACCTGCTTTGCACCAGCTCCCATGTTTTCTTGGCTCGCACACCACCTCTGCTCGGATTGGTGGAGCCAGCGGGTGTCAGAAGATAAATTCTTCGCCAAGTGAGCGACGAGTAACAGCGATCGCGAAGCAGAGTTGTCTCGCCATCTTCACCCATTTTGTGGATTCCTTGACCACCATCCAAACACCAATAGCAGAGTATATGTATAGTCTCATCCCAAATCTCAACCGTAGCTGCTTCCAAAGAATCTGTATCCACGGCTACAATCTACTTCGCTCCTCGTGGTTAACTTCAAATTCAAACCCATTGCGTTTGCCGCGTCCCAGACTGACACGACGACTCTGCACCTCCAGATGAATGGGCAATCGACGATCCCTAGGTCACGAGGTCCAACGTTCACCAGCGAAATCCCGCAGCTCCCGCCTTTGTCAACGGAATCTCGCTGAAAAATGTCGGTGTCGTTTGTCTCGCGTAGTCGCTGAGGCGAAATGAGGGGACAAGCTAACGGCGTAAACTTGGGAATATTATTTTCCCTTCCTTGACCGGCAGATTCATGTGCCACGCGGACGATTCTCAACCAGCCACCGAAATGGACTCTCGAATCTCCCTGTCATGGACAAAAATTAAGCCTGACCGAACCAACCATTCGCAGCCACCATCACTTTTCCTCGCGACCCAACGCAGCCGGTTAGCCTGTAGACCAATGCGGAACTTGATAGGGTTGCCGTGACGAAACACGCAGAAGGTCCGAACCTACGGCTGAGATCTGAGTTACCGAGAGAGTTTCAGTCAATCCAGTAATTCTGGACGGTAGATCTGAAGAGGGTTGGTGTAAGGAGAGGAGACAAGTTGGTGACCCCTCCGCCTCATTCCAGCGTCACCGTCGTCTCTCGCCTCATTCTCGCCTGAGCCTCGGATTTCACAGCGCTTTCGCCTCTTGCTCTCATTTTCTCACGCTCAGCTTCTTCTGCTCGTTTCCTTAGAGCTGCTGCGACTGCGGAAAGGCGAGCCGCTAGGAATATCGTTTTCTATTCAGGCCTGGCTTGATGTCGAAGCTGCGTTAACGGAAAGAGGAAATCGCGTGCTGGGAAGAGGAAATCGCGTGTCAGGAAGAGGAAATTGCGTGTCGGGAAGAGGAAATGGCGCGTTGGAAAGAGGAGATCGCATGTCAGGAGAGGAAATGGCGTGTCAGGAAGAGGAAATGGCGTTTCAGGAAGAGGAAATGGCGTGTGGTAGCCTGGAAACTTTGACTACGAAAGAAAAAGTGCGAGGATGGCGATTTTCGTATGGAAGGTACGCCTGAGTGCAACTGCGTTTTTCCACGTATCCGAGTCTTACCTTATTTAGTGGTGTACCACGCTTTCGTTTTAGCACACGCAAGATTGTTGAGTGGCGCGTCTGACGTATGACTGCATCCTGATTGCATGTCGCAGGTTTGTTGGAGAGGCGACATGTCACATGAACCACCAACGACATTTGCGATTTCGTAGAGTGCGTGCGATTTCGGGGAGTGCGTGCAACTGGCAGCTCAGGTATTGCGCGAACCCACAACCACTCATAAAGTCGATTTCGCGAATCAATTTCCCGCATGTCGCACGCACATAGTTGCTTTTCCGCTTCGCGTTTCAATCTTGATGAGCAGATTCGCCGATCGATTTCGTTCTTAGTTGTCGCGTTTCAGTTTCCCGTTTCAACTCTGCGATACTAGATCTCGAATTTCAATTTCGCGATCTAATTTCGCAGATCGATTTCGTATCACAGTATGTCGTTTCGCGAGCTGCTTCCCTGACGTACGTTTCCCAATCGATTTCGCAAATGGTTGTCGCCGCGTCTTTCCACCCACTGCAGGCCGCCGTGCGTCACGCCGTTGCCCACCCCCCCGAACGGGTGTCACGCTGGTGGGTACCGCGTTGAACCACTCTCGCGACCTGCAATTTCGGGCCACTCTCTTCCGTCACACGCGGCTGCTCTCCACCCACAGCTAAGCTAAGTACACCTCCCTGCCTCTCTCCTCTCAACCCTTGTTCCTGTGTTGGCTTTCATGCCTCGATTGCACTATACTGCACACTCCCTGTCTTACTGCCATGTGTCGCACTCAAAAGACCTCCCTCCCCCAAGGTAGGAAGGTAGCAGGTATGTGCTCAGGTATATGGTTTAGTGTGGTTCAGCTGGTACGAGGTCTCTTGGGTGTGCCACTGCAGCAGTCCATTCATGCTCGCATAATTTCTACTCACTCTGCTCTCACTTCACTCACTCGTCCTTGCTTCTTTCCTCACTTCCCTCCCCACTCCTAAATTCCCGTCCTCTCCTCCCTTCTCTCTGTCCTGATCTTCCACCTCTCGTCCCAGCAGGTCGCTCACACGGGAGTGGCAGTGGCGGGGGACATGGAGTGCACAGGCAGCAGCTGCTCTAAACCCTAAACCCGCTCACAGCTAAGCTAAGTACCTCGCCCTGCCTCTCTTCTCCCAACGCTCGTAATTGTGTTGGCTTTACATGCCTCGCTTGCATCATATATCAAACTCCCTCCCTCACTGCCCTTTGTCACACTCAAGAGACCTCCCTCCCCCAAGGTAGCAAGGTAGCAGGTAAGTGCCCAGGTATTAGGTTTAGTATGGTTTAGCTGGTATGAGGTCTCTTGGGTGTGCCACTGCAGCAGTCCATTCATGCTCGCTTATTTCATGCTTTCACGTCACTCACCTGTCCTTGCTTCTTTCCTCACTGTCCTCCCCCAACTCCTCAATTCCCGTCCTCTCCTCCCTCCTCTCTGCCCCAATCTTCCCCCTCTCGTCCCAGCAGGTCGCTCTCATGGGAGCAGCAGTGGCGGGGGACATGGACTGCACAGGCAGCTGCTGCTCTCCACCACATGCAGCTAAGTACCCGCACTGCCTCTTGCATTCATTTTCATTCCATTTCAGTCCTTGCTGCATCTCCTGCCGCTTGTGCATTCAAACGCAAGCCTCTGGTTGAGCCAAAGCTTCAAGCCACAGACCCCTTTTTCTTGGGAATTTCCTCCAGGTACTGCAGGTATTCTCTCAGGTCTGCAGGTAAGCCTCCCTAGGTGTGTACCTCTCTTGGGTCTGTGGCTTGTAGCTGAGGCTGCACCAGTGCCCCCCGTTTCTGCTCCCACATGCCATCTCATGCACCCCTCTCACATTTCTACCCCTAGCCGCTTACTCACTTCTCTTCAGTTCTCTCCTTGCCGGTTGAGGGGAGGGGCGTGGGGGTCAACACCGCCACTCCCTCATGCTCCTCCCCTGTGGCTGTGCAGGTTTGCAGCACTCCACTCCGCTGGGATGAGAAGGGAGAGTATCGGGATGGGTTGTCTGAAACAAGGTGAGCCTCATTTCCTGTTCCTGCCACACATGCTTGAATGTCTGTTGTTCCTTCGCTCACGCTGCTGCTTGGTTTTCTGCTCATTCTCACTTCCCTTGATGCTCCCTAACCTGCATTTACTCTTTTCTCCTTGCCCTTCACATCCCCGTCCTCTCTTCCCTCCCTTCCTCTCTCTGCTCCAGCCCTCTCATTGCAACCTCTCTTACTTTCGGCTGCCTTTTCTTTCCGCCCTGCCCTCCCTGCCCTCCCATCCCTTCCCTGCCAGGCCTTCACAAGCCAGGGGGAGGGCAGCAGGCGAGCAGCAGGCGAGGGGAGCACCAGGGCGGGCAGCAGGAGCGCGGGCAGCGGGGCAGCAGCGCCGGCCTCATCAACGGTTGAGGTTGCAGTATCGCCCCTGCCACCACACTCCACTCGAGCCCACTCCCCCTCA